ACAGCAACAGAAAGTAGACTAATACATACATTGAATGTCTTAGTACTTCTCTAATTTAAACATACATTGGGAAATCTGTGAAAATACAAAATCTGGTTCAGAAGCCAAGGGGTAGACCTGGGGTGCTGCATTAACAGCTTCCCAGGGGACACCCGATCTGCTGGCCCATCATCCCCACATTGAGTTACAAAGTACTATTTCAACAACACAGTGTGGTGCTATTTTTGCTCCAGGTTCTTTGCTGAAGATCACACTTGCAAAAGTGTAGAGGAGAGGAGACTGTCACTCCTTGGGTGAGTTCCAGCCGTGTAAAGGATAAGGTATTAACCCGTGAGAGCTGAGAAGGGCAATTCCTGGGGAGAGGGAGGGTTGCAGGTTGCAGATCACAGGAGAGAAGCTGCTGCCTTAAGAGGACCATGAAGGAGGGGGCAAAGCGGGAGAGAGGGCAGAGAGGGTTCTGCAGAACCTTGGGAATTTCTCAGAGCTGTCTCTCTCATTCTCAAAGACAGAGACTGGGGCCACCTCCGTGGTCCCACCCTGAACTTAGCGTACTGAGCCTGGGGGTCTGCCTGGACACATCTGTCTCCCACCAGGACATTTCCTCCTTGTTGAGGGGTTGAGTTGACAGTCCCACCCTGTTTACATACTGTGAGACCGCAGGGACAAAGATGTGCAAATTGTTGGATGGTGTTAGAAATGCTGTCCTGAGCTGAGTTTGAGGCCAGCCTGGACTGCATAGTCTCAAAAAAAAATGCTGTCACATTTGGAGAGGGTATGGTGCACGTGGGGGCTTGGGAGAGGGACCCTCTGGCCTGTGGCTGCAGAAGGCAAGAGATAAAAGCTGACATCTTAGTTCCCACGGAGGCTCCCGGATGCATACAAGCTCCCTCTGTACTCTATGAGACTCCTTCTCCGGAGGGGCCGCTCAGATGGGGACGGGCAGTGAGTGTGGACGCTCTGGGACTTGGGAGGCCATCTGGAATCATCCCAGATGTCTCAGCTTCTTGCCTGGTCACCTCTTAGCCCAGTGTCCCCTGAAGGCCAGCAGGACAGGTGCCTCCTTGACAGCTTTGGCCCCTTTTTTGTTTTGCTACCTGGGCTCTCATGTATTTAACATTTCGATTGATTTGCTTTCCTGTCAACTTTTTGTTTTTTTGAGACAGGGTCTTGCTATGCAGTCCAGGCCATCTTTGAACTCATTGTGTAGCCCAGGCTGGCCCTGACCTCACGGCGATCCTCCTGCCTCAGCCTCCCATGTGCTGGTATTACAGGCATGCATTACCATCCCCAGCTCCCCTCAACTTCTTGTTGTGATAAATTTCAGACCTATAAGAAAGTCAAAAGAACAGTACAAGAACAGTCAGGGGTGGGGATATAGCTCAGTGGCACAAGTGCCTGCCTGACAAACACAAGGTCCTGAGTTTGATTCCCAGTACCAAAAAAAAAAAAGAACATTCACATACCCCTCACCTACGTTTGCCAATTGCTACCATTTTTTGGTGGGGGAGGTCTTTTTGAGACAGAGTCTTGCTCCGCAGTTCAGGCTGGCCTTGAGCTCACTTTGTAGCCCAGGTTGGTCTCGAACTTGCAATGAGCCTCCTGCCTCAGCTTTCCCAGTGCTGGGGTTACAAGAGTGTACCACCAGGCCTGGACTTTTTTTTTCTTTTTTTTCAGTTGTTACCATTTTTGCCACACTTGCGTTCTCCCTGTTTTCTCCATGTCCATGTTGGGAAAAAAACACAGACTTATCCTCCCACCCCATTAAAGATATTTAAATAAGCTTTTTGTATTAGAATAGTTTTAGATGTGCAGAAAAGTTGCAGACAATCAGAGAAGCCCTATGTGTTTTGCATGGATTTTGCCATTGTTTCCCTTTGAGGTCCACATCTTACATTAGTTTGATACATCTGTCACCACTAGTCCACCCATACTGATACCTTATTACTAACCAAATCTGCTTTCTTAGGACTTTGTTAGCTTTTCCCACATCTGGTGCATTCCCTTTTGTTGTTGTTGTTGGTTTTTTTTTTTCCAGTACCTGGAATCGAACTCACGACCTTGCGCTTGCCAGGCAGGCACTGTGCTGCTGAGCTAAATCCCCAGCCCCTGAGTCCCTTTTTTGGATTCCGATGTTTATGAGTATGTTTGCAGTAGGTAACGATCACATTCATCATTCCGAGTTGAGACAGTACATAACACGTCTTAATTCATCTTACAGGGTGGACTCATTTTTAAAACTCTAAAGCTTTAGAAGTAGGGAAGTGCCCACGGCCCGCCACATGGACTTGCCAAGTACGGTTCTAGCCCCGTGCTATTGGCCAGGGAGCGGGCTAAGCCTGCGGTTGGCTTTCTCTCTTGCTAAGGGAGATTAGGCAGTTAGGGGAGTGTGACAGACTGGCCCCAAGCTGAGACTTTCTCCCAGGACCAGGGGGACGGAGAGAATGGCCAGAGGGGAAAATGACTTTCCTACCAGGAGAGTCTGGGCGTCCGGTGCCCGGTCTGCACGTCACCCAGTGTCACTGTGAGTGCCATCTCTCTGAGCTCCGCTTTGGGAACACTCTGAAGCCTGGCTCTGGGTGTGACAGTGCCAGGCTCCAAAGCTGCAGCTTCCCTCTGCCCTGGGGGACCCAGTCAGACCTGTGGCAATGAGGTTTGTCTGCAGGAACAACCCCGCCGGGCTCCTACAGCCTCAGGGCATTTGGCACGTGCAGAGCCTAAGGGCGCCCCCTGGAGGTCAGCGCGGGCAGTACAGGAGCCAGCACAGGGTCAAGAGCGCCGCGGCGGCAGGCCGCAGCAAGACAGGAAGAAGCGGTGGAAACCGGCTTTCTGGGACCCTTGGCCTGATGCCAGTACTTGCGACACTCATCTTTTTAAAATGCTGCCGAAGGTCTCTGTGTTTTGTATGTTTGAGTAGGTGACGCTGCTTCCCGAAACCAAGTCCCCGCTTTCCAGCGTCCCCTTTCAGTGTGTGTCATGATCTTCTGCCCAGGAGCCTCAGCGGGCACTGCGACTGGACAGCTCTCCTGCGCTCCGGGGTTTCCATGGGGAGAAGTCACTTTGGCTCCACCGTGACTCAAGCTAGCGCTTGTAGAACTTCTGGGTTTGCGCCTAAGGATTACTGTTCGTCTCCTGCCCCGGCTATTGCTGTAGGTTTCTTCCAGTTGGTCCCAAGAGGTGAATAGTAGGAATGACACTTTCTACATAGAGTGCAGTGTCCCTGCGGAAGAAAGCTGGTCAGGACGCAAGGGATAGAGTATCTTTCCTTTTCTTTCTTTTCTTCTCTTCTCTTTCCTTTTCTTTATGGTCTGTTTGTTTGTTTGTGATGAGGTATCACTATATAGCCCAGGCTAGCTTTGAACTTGGGGTGATCCTCCTACCTCAGCCTCCTAAATTCTGGGATTACAGGTGTGCACCACCATCCTTGGCCCTTTTTATTTTTTGAGACAGGGTCTTGCTATGTAGAACAGGCTGGCCTAGAGTGCATGATCTTCCTGTCTTAGCCTACCAAGTACTGGGATTACAGGTGTGTGCTAACATAGTCTGCTTCCATTTTTATTTTAGAAATTAAATTATTAGCAGGTGTGGTGGCTAATCCCAGCCTGTAATCTCAAGCACCCGGGAGGCTGAGGCAGGAAGATTGGCCCAAGTTCGAGGCTAGCCTAGGCTACAATGTGAGTTCAAGGCCAGCCTAAATTGCATAGTGAAACCCTGTCTCAAAAAACAAAAAACAAAAAAAAAAAAAAACAAATGAAATTAGTATAGTCATCTCCAATACCCTTTCCAGAAGTAATAACTGTAATAACTCAGCTTGGTTCTGTCTTTCTAGACCACTTGTCTGGCTTTATATGTTTTTCTTGCCTTCACTTCAGGAGTATATAAGGGCGTTGTTACATGATCAGGAGTGTATTGGTCAGGTGCAGTGGTGTAACACTGGTAGTCACTCTAGCTACTCAGGAAGCTGAGGCAGGAGGGTCCCTTAAATCCAAGAGTTCAAGGCCAGCCTGGGCATCACAGCAAACCTCATCTCAAAAAGCAAAAAAAAAAAAAAAAAATCCTAAACCAATGGGACACAGGATTATATGGCATGTATCATTCTGTCTCCCTTTCACTCAGTAGCTTGGCCTGGAGATCCATATCCGATGCTACCCGTAGACAGAGCTCTTTTAAACTACTGCCCGGTGCCCTGTAGTGTGACTCCGTCATACTTCATCCAGTGAGTCCTCACTGATGGATGCTAAGTGCCTGTCCCTGTTTCCTGCAATAAGCGAGCGTCCTGTGCTCCAGTGAGTGTCCCGTGCAGGCTCCCTGCAAACGTGCCTGGGTGATGTGCTGGCTGCAGGGGACGCACGTTCCGGGTTCCGGGAGGTCTTGCCAAAGACACTCCAGAGTACAGTGTGCTGTGGCGGGAAGGGGCGTCTGCCTCTGTTCTTTGGGGCTGTTTACCCTGGGTTTCTTTTCTGCATTGGCTGCAGGGTGGAAAGGAGCCAAGCGGAGCGAGAGAGAAATTCATCGTAGGTGTTGCACTGTTCTGGGTGCACTGCCTTCCAGCCTCTCCTCCGGAGGCGGTAAATGAGGGCTTTGTTTCCAGTTCATCCCTGAGTGGACTCAGAAAGCCGAGATGTGCTAGGTTGAGCAAAGGAGCCTGTCGTCTGATCCCCAGGCCTGGATCCCACCTCGGGACACAGACAGCCCGGTGGATTTCAGGCGTTGCACCCGCACGAATGTTACAGAGGCACAGGGCAGAGGCCAAGCAGGACCCTGAGCTAGTTCTGTGGTTACTAAGCCAAGACAACAGAGCAAAAAAGCCTGACAGTTCCCTCTATGGACGCTGGCACCAGGGACCAGGCCAGGTGAATTTCCCACCTTGGGGAAGGCGGGTGCAGGGGGAGAAGGGACTCTGGGGAAACCCAGGACCAGAGGAAGGGGTGTGTGGCGGATCAGATCCAACCGAAGAGGGGAAGGCAGGAAAGAGGAAAGCAGGAGTGAGGTAAGAAGAGCAAGGGGAGGATGGAGGAGGCGGGGAGGCTGCGTCCCTGTCTGTTTGTGATTAGCACCAGCGGTGCAGAATGGAGTAAACAGAAACCCCCAGGCGTCCCCTCCGCCCCCTCCGAGGCAGAGCAGGAATCAGAGGCTCCGTGATTAATCGTGGAGCATTCAGGACACGACCACAAACACTGTGTGGACTTGAAATTAGCTGCCAAGATGGGAGTGGGGGGTGGGACGTCGTGGGGTGGGCGCCCCGCCTGCCGGGGGCCAGCATGGAATTCTCCCCGGCAGAGCGCGGAGTGACACTGACAAGCAATCGGCTACAGCCAGAGCAGCAGGCGGCATCCGGGGGGAGCGGGACCGGCCGGAGGGCCCCAGGCAGGCTTCCTGGAGCCCCAGTTCTACAGCCGGGCGCCCACACCCAGCCACCGCCAGATAAGAGCCCCGGAGGCTTTATCACAGCCGGCAGAGGGCAAGCCCCTGCACCCAAAGGAAGACCGGGGATCAGTGGAGCCCCAGGGCCATCTCCCAGCCAGAGGGCCGGTGCCCGTGGCCAGTGTGGACGCACGCTCTGAGTCCCAGCTCGAGTCCCCAAGTCCTGCAGATGGGAGCTGACGCCGGCTTGCAGCAATAGAGAAAGCCCGGCAGCCTGGAGGACAGCGGAGCTCAGACCTGGGTGTCCAGACGAGCTCGATGGTGAGTGGGAAGCGGCTCCTCCCTGCGTGTGGTGTGCCGTGTGCCGCGGGAGGTCCTGCCGCTGCCTGGCGAGCGACCAGACTTCTACAAGGAGGTGGGGAGGGGCAGGGGAAACTTCCTCAGGTCCCACCTGGAGCTCCCTAGGCAGGAGAATGGAACTTCAGCTGAAGCTGAGAGAGGATTGCAGAATCTTGCTGTGTGACTTCGGGCAAGTTCTTTCCCCTCTCTGGGCTTCTGTTTGTCCATCTCTAAATGCAGTGGTTGAAGACGGTGCTCTTTAAGAGACTCTTACCATGATGCTATTTCTTGTGCCTCTGCTATATGCCAGGCACCAGGCTGGGCACCTTTGGAACTTTAGGTCCGGAGTACTCAGGATTCTCCCCATGGGCCAAGTATTATTATTGTTCTCATTGTACACCAAGGACACAGAGGCTCAGAGAAGTGAAGTCAGTTGCTCTAGGTCACACAGCCCATCGGGGGCAGAGGTGAGGAATGGACCTAGGTCTCTCTGACTTGACTTTGGCTGAACTTAACAGTCCATCTCCAGTGGTCTGCATTCCTTGTTCTGTGAGTGTGACTGTCCCAGGGGGCAGGGGAGGCGAAGTGTGGATGGCACACACAAGCATTACCTGCAGGAGGGGACGGGATGGCAGAGGAAGCAACAGGCTGAAAACGGCAAGCAGCCTGCAACTACTGGGGTAGCACGTCAGCCCCGGCATGGCCATGGCGCCCTGGGGTGGGCCGGGGGCTCCTGGCCTGCGTGAGAAGACCCCGTGCAATTCAGGGAGCGTGTTGTAGGAGGCTCCCGGTGTGAGAGAAGAGGGTTAATGTCAGGGATGGTGAGAGCTGGGGGTGGGGAGGGTGGCACATGCCTCAACTCGGTTTGGTTCCAAATTTATTTAGCCTCTCAAAAATCTGTTTCAAATCATCCTGGGCTGCGCAGCTCCTTAGGACGAAACAGAATTGTGAAACATGAAGCGCTTTCCACACGCTTCCCGCGGGAATCACATATTAGGACCTCCTAGGCTATTTGCATATACACCCCTGCGGCTGTGGCTGGCAGCAGCCAGGAGATAAGATGCAGATAAAGCCAGCTGTGTCCTTGGCACTGAGAAGGAGGATGCAGTCGACATCCAAAGGCCAGGAAGCCCACAGCTGGAACACAGCAGGTGGGAAATCCCTAGGGGGCCAGGCATCTGGCCAAAGGTGAAGGTCCCAGCACCCATATGTGGCCTTCTTCTGTTTCCCTTGGAAAATTCCACCCTGAAGCAGGTCTGCATGGATGCAGCTCTCCTTTCCTTTCTGGGCCTGTCTAGAAGCCCCTGCCCCAGGGACCAGAGCAGACCTGAGCTGTGGGTGGCCCTCGCTCTAGCGTGAGCAGCTGATGTGCCCCCTCCATGGCTCCTTTTGAGCTGGTTGGTTGGTCACCCTGTCCAGGTCTGCCCTGTATTTTGTGACCTTGAGCAAGTCACTTCCCTTTTCGCAGTCTCAGTTTCCTCATCTGTAAAACAAAGGGATTATCTTAGGAAATGTGTGAGATCTCCTTGCAGTTCTAAGATCCGGAGGCTCTGGTTGGAGAAGGAGACCAATGCTCCAAACTAGGTGAGCAGGGCTGAGAGTAAGAGAAAATCTGAGAGGGCAGGAGAATCTCCCCTGGCAGTGCCCCCAGAGGGTTCAAGGGGCACTGGAGGCAGGTGGGGCTTGCAGAGACAGCTGACAGCCTGTGCATCAATGACGGTGGTGCTGATGTCAGGGGCAAAAGCCCTAGGGCCCTGCAAAGCCTCATGGGTGACCTCAGTCATGGTTTCTGTACGAAGGAGCTGCTGACTGTGGGGCCCCCACACACTCATCTTCAGAAGCTTGTTGTGTGCTCTGCTTTCCCCTCGTTCTTTCTGGGGAGCCCCCAGTGCGGACCTCACCTAGGCTCACAAACTGCTCTCTCGCTCTATTTGCTGCCGCTCGCTTCTCTGAGCCACTTGCACACGGGCGCCCACCGGGGCTTCTGTGGCTTCTCCCCAAGCTTGCTGCTCCTTCTGCCTGAGCTGCGCTGGCTCTGGGCGGATGTGCAGATGACGGCTCCCTCCCCCACTTGGCTCCATGCTGGGCCTTGTGTTCCGGACACTGCACCGTGCTAGCGCCAGTTCATGCAGCCATTGAAAGCTGACTGTCAGATTTTTAGGAATTTGGTAAGCTGGCTTTTAAAAAATTAAATCTTTTATAAACTTTCAATTAAAGAAATTCTACTTTTTGAAAACATGACTAGGGGCTGGGGATTTAGCTTAGCAGCACAGCGCCTGCCTGGCAAGTGCAAGGTCATGAGTTCGATTCCTGGTACCAGAAAAAAAAACAAACAAAAAACCAATAAATAAATAAATAAATAAAAAATAAAAAAAATAAAAACATGACTAGTACTCAAAGTTGATCACTTCCCATTTTTTAAATCACTTGTTTTTGGAAGCTGGGATTGAACCTAGGGCCTCACACATGCTAACCGTGTGCTCTGCAACAGCCTCACCCCCCGCCCCAAGAAACTGCACTTTGCTTTTTCCTAAGCTCCCCTACACCTGCCTCGTCCACCTGGTGTGCTACTGCCCAGCCCTTCCCAACTCCATTTCAGGAGATCTCAACTTGGTAGCTAGAAACCGGCCATGGCAGGAGTATTTACAGGATGGAAATTGGCCAAGAGCAATAGCTCGGGACTTGATGTATTGTTTTGTTGATTTTCTGGATTTGAGAAAGTGAGGAGAAAAAGCTAATGGTGCCGATGGAACAGGAAAGTCTGTTGGGTCTGGCTGCAGCCCTGAGGATCGCACCGTGTGGTGAGGCACTAGTTCAGGTGCTGGGTGAACAGCTCAAGTTCCAACGCATTCTTCGTTGTTTGCTTTTGTCTTACCACCCCTTGAAGTGAAGGAAACCGTGAGCCGTTCTTCTGAAGAACTATACTCCTTCTGCCGTGGTAGCCACAGGGCGATACAGACACAGGAGCTGGGGCAAATCCCAACATAGACTTGCTGTGCGAATAAACTGATCCTATTTAACCTCCAAAGCAGAGCATTGCAAATTTTATTTTTGTCTGTAAGTTGCATGCTTCACATCCTTTACATTGACACCATTTACAGTAAGCCTAAACAAGTATGTGTGTATGCAGCTCTACCCCCCACATGCCTCACGCACGCACGCACGCACGCGCTGCCCTGGAGAGACAGTTGTGGAGCCTTTACCAGCACACCTGGTTCCTCAGCACATTGCTTGTGCCCAGGGTCTCTGAGGTCCTGTCGTGGACAGACACTGCCCGACAATTCTGTCCACCTCCTTCTTTTGCTTAAAATGGATCAGAAGCCAAATGCCTCTCGGATCCCATGCGCCGGATGCATGCAGAGGTTGGGTGGATGCGTGAGGCACTGTCCACACCGGTGGCACCTGGGGCCCGGGCTCAGCCAGCGACGCGAGCCCTGAGATGTGCCCTTCATCTGTTGCACAAGACACCCCCGCCTTCGCTGGGTGTTTCCAGGGTCCCAGCAGCAGCCGCCCTCTGGTAATTCTGTTCCGATCCAGGCCTTGCTCCTGCCATCTCTGATTTTCTTGTGCGGAGAATGATGCTCTAATAGAAACGGCATCTTGGAACATGTTAAAGGAACAGTGAGGCCAAACCTATGGGGAAGTTGAAACAACTTTCTATTTTTAGTGGCCTTCCGAGCCAGGTGGGCCGATTCCAGTTCTCCTGGCCTGCAAGCACGAGAGGAAAATGTTTCTCATTCCCAAGTCCCACCTCTGCGATCGATCGTTGGCCAAGGAGGAGGCCGGGAGGGGCTTTAGCCAGAAGGACGGGACAGTGACGCGGAGGGGACCCGGGCCACAGCAGTTCTCAAAGGACGGCACGTGGGCATGTTGTGTTGTCTGGCCCTGGCACTCACCTTGCAGAGCACACCCCCCCACCCCCCCACCCCCCGCTCAAAGCCAGGTGTCTGCTCTTTTGGGCCTTCCACTGGCTCCTTCGTTTTTGTCTTTTTTCATAACTTGAATTTTCAAAAGTGGAGTCAGGCTGGGCATGTGGCTCAATGCTTGCAAAGCGCTTGCCCAGCATACATGAGGCCCTGGCTTTCATTCCCAGCATGGAGAAAGAGAAAAAGAAAAACAAAAACCTTGGCGTGATAGTGCATACTTCTAGTCCCAGCTACTCAAGAGGCTGAGGCAGGAGGATCACTCGAGCTCATATTTGAGACCAGCATGGGCAACATGGTCAGACTCCTTCTAACGAACACCACCATCCCCTTCTCAGGAAAGCCTCTCCGACCCCTGTTTAAAATGACAGCCCTGCGTCTTGCACCCCGGCCTCCCTCTCCCCCTTTCCTAGCTTTTTCTACTCACGGGCACCTAACGTGTTGGATATTTTTCTTTTCCTCCATGTCCCCTTTCAGAATATGAGTTTCCAGAAGGTGGGGATTTGTTTCATTGTTGCCTGCCATGCTCACGGCGGTGTGCCACACTAGGCGTTCAGTCGGTGCTTATCGGCACACAGTAGGAACTCCCTGAACACTTGCTGAAATGCTCCTTGGCTGTTGCCAAGGTGACAGGCCTCCTGGCCCTCGGGAGAGCCCTGGATGTGTGTGTGGGGCACCCCAGAGCCAAATGCTGGGCGACACACAGGAAAAGCAAATGTCTACTCCAGGCAAGCGTCCAGCCTGGCCGCTGACCTTCGTGGCCAAAAGAGGCCAGGCTGACTGAGTTGTCACCAGCACAGGCTGCCCTTGGCCTGGTCGGGCTGAGACTAGCGGCCGCTCGGGGCAGTCACACACAGTGTGTCCGAACATCTACCGCAGAGGCTGCTTCTCCGGCTGAAGCACGTTTATACATTTGGGGGGTTCCGTTTCTGTTGCCAATTAGTTCTGCTTGAGAACAGCTTTTCTCCACAGCAACATATTGGCTGCCTGGCCCGGAGTTCTGTTGATTAGCTTAAAGTCGGGAGAGAAGTGATTTTTCTTTCCTTCCTGCACCCCCAG